CTATTTGCTCCGTGTACAGCATGTCTCATGATTTTAGTAGGGTATCATTGGTCTGTTTCGCACCAAGAAAAAAACCATAATAAAATAAACTAATTGATCAGATTAGAAAACTTCCACTGGATGAAGATGAATCAGGCCCTGGAGAATATTTTTCCTAACCAGTTATACATACTGGTTTTTTTTTCAAACTACTATTCTTTTTCTGCCCTCAGCAAAAGATGAAAGAAAGCTTGTTTTTCGAGGTAAAAAGCACTCTAAAATGTTAGGGGTGCTCGGGTGGGGGAAGGTCCGGACGTCACCATCCCCTATGGAGCTGCCCAGGAGTACGGTATCATTTAAATAATCATTCTGTGAAGCCCAGTCGGTCAAATACTGCAAGTATTTACCATATTATATAACAGAATATTCTAAAGCATAATATTGAATACTGCTACGTTTTAACTGTAATTTTAGAAAGACTTTTGCAACTGAACGTCAAATTACCCTTTGAATAAAGAAGAACACGAGTTAATAATGAGTTTGTTCATAATGTTAAAACAGGTAGATAGGCCTGGTAAAGAATATGGTAAAAATGGACACATGCTAAAATTTCTCACGCATTGACTATGTTAGTGACATGGTCACTCTATAATATATTTTATTTCGTTATATTTGGTGAACATGTACGAATTTGTATCCACTTACATACTGCTCCTTTCCCTGTATTGTACTAACGTAAATGTCACATGTGTTGCTTTTGTAGAGTAATGAGTCCTCGTCCAATATTTTGTAGATTGTGTTATTGTAAAATGATTTTTTTTACGATATGTTAATAGACATAAATAGGAACTCAAAATATGCCATCAATGGAAAGATATTTAAAAGAATGGTTATTATTATTGATAGTAATTTTTATTGTCGTGATGGAATAGACAATAACTGGATTTGCGTCAGGAGAAACATGTATAGGTGTAATTTTGCCCTTCCTGACGTGGAAATGTACCGAATACTCAGTACATTTGAAAACAACTGCGAAAAAAATCGCAAGTTGTTCTCGGGTGGGACTCGAAACCACGATCTCCAGATCACTAGCCTGGCATCATACCTCTAGACTATTATTACTATTATTATTATTATTATTATTATTATTATTATTATTATTATTATTATTATTATTATTATTATTATTATTATTATTGTTATTTTTATTGCTGTTAATAATACTATATTATTATTATTATTATTATTTTATTATTATTATTATTATAATTATCTTATTATAATTATAATTATTATTATTATTATTATTATTATTATTATTATTATTATTATTATTATTCAGCATTTAACATATATAGAAGGCCCTCACAATACACAGCTTTTATACCGCTTTTATACTAAAGTACTTTCAACAAAATCAAACACCCTGTAACAAAAATAAACCATTGTAAATTATTAAAAACATATAATTTTCATCATTTGTGTGAAATATTATTTAATAATAATAAATCCGACAGTGTGGAAACGACAAAAATGATGACGACAAAGATCATAACATTTATGATACATATTTTGTAATTTAAAGTCTTAATCTTTGGCGTCATTTTGGCGCAGTAAGGATTATTAATGCCTCCTTTTTGGCAGACGATTTTGTGGGTGGAGGTCCAATAGTCTACAGATATACAATCGATATTTTTAATGTAATATTTTCAATATACTTTGGCCTTATACTTAATCTACGCACTGTCTGATCAGCCGTGATGTGGTATATCCGGTTTTCTCCCCTGGGGTCCCTAAGCTTGTGCATCAGCAAAAAAAAAAATATTTTTGTAGATTTAATTTCATTTTTGAGGAAAATGCCAAGGTCGGTCCACGCATTTAGTTTACTTGCAAGTTGTTGCGTGACGAATTTGTTTTTCCAAAATCATTTTAAAGATAATTGATAACTTATTTTACCAGGATAATATTTAAGATATCTAATATGACAAACTACGACAACTAGAAAAATTATAAGCTCTACTTGTTTTTAAAATGGTCCTTCAATAAATACACATCATGCAACAGTTAACTTTATATATATATTTATTTTTTGTTTTGTTAATTATACTACGAAGATTGTTAAGTAAGTTTTAGTTAAGAATATTGATTAATCTTCATTGCGATTTGAAGCTGCAAAATAAGTAGTAGGCCTATTGGAAATGAGTCTCAAACACGATTTTCCAGACACCTTTGAATCCGTCTCCTGAAGAACCATTTTCTAGCTTTCCGAACGTATCCATAAAAATTATGACTGAAAATCTTCGCCATTTATAATGGGCGGATTTAAGGAGGAGTAACTAGGGGAAGCCCGTTCGGACTCTCCATAAATTTTTCAAAATTAAAAAAGGTGATTGCTAATTGGTGGAACTGAGGTGGTCTAGTCCCTTCATCTGTAAAATTGACTTTCTAGTGTGTTGGCAACGCATACATGAATAACGGTACATGCTGTGTTAATAAACGGAAATACATTATTGCACACGCGGTGCCATTGACAATCTTCGTGGGAAAATGACGGAAAATGCAATCCAAACATAGGGGCCTAGACATAATCGTGATTACCGTACATCTGAAAACCTTCATCGAACCATCAGCCTAATTGACTCAAAAAAAACTAATTGCTTATCACACAAATTGACAGATATTTGGAACGATTCATTCACGGCTACATTTGCACCTGCTTTTTGCATATAGACAGATCCGGGAATTCACAACAGGCCTAGAGGAGTCCACTAGGTTCGAATCCATGGTTATGAACACTAAGGGATTTCTTCCCCATTGACATATGTTTGCAAATTATGAAAATATTGCTCATGAAATCGTTATAAAATTACCATCTTCGAGCTCGTGGAATACCATCGACTAATAAATATAGAGTTTTGTTTCCTTACAATCGCCACACGCGACCGCCGAGAGCATTCGATTATGCTGATTGATCAGTCGAATTGGGGAGCCTTTTAAATTTTATTCAAAAACACTCCAACAAGGAGAACATAAAAAAAAAACACAAACAAAACAAAAACAAAAAACAAACAAAAAACAAAAAACAAAAGAACAAAAAACAGGTAAATACAGATGAATAACAAACAAATTATCGAATAAAAATCAATCAATCCATCAAATCAGATCTATCCAGAACATAGCAGCAATTCATAGCAGTTTACGTGGAGTGGAATCCCACGCAGTACCAGTACGGCACAATTATAATTTTCAAATAATGTAAAATAGTACTGATAATCTCTGAGATGCCATTCCCGAGTGACTGTTTAGGCCTATATAAGTGTGAGTATTGCTTTATCAAACTTTTGCGAATGAAAAAAAAAAATTATCTCTACATGTTGACATTACTTTGTCTGACAAGCACTCTTGTAGGTGGTATCAACATTGGCTCCACAGTTAACTAAATGCGAGTAAAACCTTTTGGAAATAGAAGAATTATTACAAATTTGGAAGACAGGGCTATAAGTTCCGGCTCTCTTTACGTCCAAATCTTGGCAATTTCAAGAGCAAAATTAAGTTGGTGATTCTATAGGCCTAATAGTTAGGAAAACCGAGAGATTCTTTAATAAGCTGACGTTACATTTTCAAGCTTAGAACATTGGCAGACATAAGTTAATATGTGGGAGACGTCAGCTGAAGCCTCATTTTTACACAAGCCAATATATTTAGCAAGCGTTTCCCTGTACTCTAACCGGGAGCAGGGAAAAAATAATGCTTGCCAAAAATAACACAATCGGATTTGGTTGGATTAACCAGGCAATTCTTGGTGATTTAATGTACTCTTTGGCAAATTTAATGAACTACTTTAGCCCTGTAATACTATTGATTATAGCCTGGTTCTCACGAGAGCCCTAGTCACCGGATCGGGAGCTAACCGTTAGCACTTGCGTGAGACCGCCCAATCGGTTTTAAAGCCGAACAGTTAAGCAGTATCCGGATACTGCTGACGGTTAGCAAGCGCTATCGGTTAGCAAGTTGAGCGTGTTCCTATCATCAACCAATCACACGTACGCGTTTACAATTTCCAGTTTCTTATTGGCCAGTGATTCGATCATCATATTTTGGGTATCTGGATCGGGATTTTCTCGGATGGACGCACAGCAGCTAACGGTTAGCAGGATCCGGATCCTGCTCTCCGTTAGCAGCCGTGTGAGAACATAGCATTAGAACATCAGCAGCAGCATAGCAAAAAAAAAAGAAGATTATTTAGACCAGTGATCATATCTTTGTAAATAGGCAGGTGATCACTTTTGATTAGTCAATCTTTTCTGAATGAGAATTCATTCGCCATCACATTGTCAATATAATATTTATGAAATAGTTTTAAAGTAAGTGTAATTTACCTAAATGCGAGTAAAACCTTTTGGAAATAGAAGAATTATTACAAATTTGGAAGACAGGGCTATAAGTTCCGGCTCTCTTTACGTCCAAATCTTGGCAATTTCAAGAGCAAAATTAAGTTGGTGGTTCTATAGGCCTAATAGTTAGGAAAACCGAGAGATTCTTTAATAAGCTGACGTTACATTTTCAAGCTTAGAACATTGGCAGACATAAGTTAATATGTGGGAGACGTCAGCTGAAGCCTTATTTTTACACAAGCCAATACTTTGTAATTCTTACCGAGGCCATTCTTACCCCCATTGTCCCTCATGTTTTAATTGTATACGAGATTTTATTTTCTGTAGATTATTATTTGGTAATTTTTAATGTTCAACTTCAATTTGTACTTATAAGATCAAATTGCAATTAAGTATTATCGAATTAGGCCAAATAAAAAAATATACTTGTTAAGCGTCACCGCCCGCCCCTGATTTTCTAGCCGCCCCTCTTTTTTCCCCCTTTTTTTTCAAATGACGAAAATCAACTAAAAATGCCGATAATTGACGGAAAATGATCGCTTTTATTCATCTTGAGTGCAGTTTTATACTCTTTTGAGAGCATGCAGGGGGAGCAAGCCAGACTATGAGGGCGCTTGCAGGGTTTACGGCTCTGGGAATAATGTGCTTTCGGTTTTTTCTCTGAAAATCACAGTAGAATATCTCTTTAGTTGTGGCTACCACTCTATTTCTGACTTTTTTGGACAAGCAAAGCAGTCTTTATTACAAGATTTGCTAAACAATCTGTAAGTAGACTTCAACACATTAAAAAATTACAGACAGTTGTTGCTGCTAGGCCTACAGGCCTAGGCTAGGCTAGAACTAAGCTGAACCAGACTGGGAACAGAAGCAGGCCTTTTTCATGCTGCGGTAGACATCTTCGATGGATGACAAACAATGCTGAGCAGTAAAGCGTAACCAACAAAAATAACATAGCGCTGCGGCTATATTTTCGGAGGTCATGTTACTCAAAAAATCATATATCCTTAACGGAGGGTTGTGTCTTTAAAGTGTTCGCAAAGGATATGTCTACGTACTTTATGAATTAAAAAAAAATTGAAAATTTGTTTAGTCTGTCAAAACTTAATCTTAACTGGAAAATAGAAAACCGATTTTGTGCAGTACATGTTGCTATTATTTCAGTTAGGTTTTGACAGACTAAAGCCCATTTTACACGGAGCAATACTGCTTGCATGGGCAATCACTGTATATCAACTTTTGACAGAATCAATTGCTTTGCATGCCAATTTACACGGGGCAATATTAGTGCTTGCAAGTTTCTGGAATGTGATCTGGTAATGATAGGATAATGATAATACATTGGTATTCTGTAGAAAGAAGACCTGTTATACTCAATTTTGTCAAAATCGAAGTACTTTTGATGTTCCATTATCTACACAACATGTCTATCTATTATATTACAGTATATTAAGAAGTACCAATTTTATATAATGCATTTTACTCTAGAAAAAGAAAATCAGAGTGTTGGTTTATGGCAGTAGTTCATTAATCTATAGCTGCATATAGTTATCGTCACACAGGAAAACATTATGAACAATAAAATTGGATCAATATAAGTAAACATCTGGATATATATGTTTTTTTTTATAAGAATAAACCTGTCTATCCCTGATTTTAACTCTCAAATTTGAGTAAACTGATGGAAAAGATATTAAAATTCCAGAGTAGATCTCTTGGGAGAGAAACTCTCCTGAAAAAGTTTGCACCGGTTCAATTTTTTTAAGGCCTTGCTTGGGTAATAAACTGTCAATCATGTACCTCAGTTTCAGAGCAATAACGACCCTCCGTTAAGGAGTTATGATTCTCTAAGTAACATGACCTCCGAAAATATGGCCGGCAGGCCACAAATGATATTCGGTCGAACAGTGAAATAATGGCAATGTGTGTGTTAACACTACACAAAATGGGTCTTCCATTTTCCGGTTAAGTTTTGACAGACTAAACAAATTTTTTTTATTCATACAGTACAATGTATGTTGACGCGACCCTCCGTTAAGGATTTATAATTTTTAAAGTAACATGACCTCCGAAAATATGGTCGAAACGCTATGTTATTTCTATTGGTTACGCTTCGCTGCTCAGCACTGTTTGTCATCGATTGAAGATGTCTACCGCAGTGTGAAAAAGGCACATTCTGGCCGGCCAGTCGGCACTGGACTTGTTCGGCCTACTGTAGCTTCATAAGGCATGGGAAGCAGCGGCGGCGCCAGAGTCTCAGAGCATTTCGGCCGCCAGGTTTTTAACAATGGAAAGTACTGTATGGCGCGCCAATAGAGTTCCGTTGGTAGTGTGGTTGTTGCAGGATGCGGAAGCGTAGGCAAATATTAATATTAATAATCTGGCCTTTTTTTATTTAACTTTCTGTCTGTGTAGGCATAGGCCTACATATTTGTATGTGTAATGCATACTTAGGCCTACGTATTTTTCATTAGGTACAGTATATTTATTTATTTTTGTGATTAATAAAATATAATAACGCCTAATGATACTGTAGGCCTAATTATTCACATTTTATACTAGGCCTACGCCTACTGTATAATAAATTGTTATAGTATTTTTCCGTAGCACGAAGGCCTAGTTGTAGTTGATTACCTATATAGCAATAACTATGATAGTCGTAATGAGTTGTGTGTCACTATACTTATTGTACTTTTGTACTTTTTTTATCTTTGGAATGTTATAAACATGTGTTCGTTGTTATAAATTATTGTAACAATTATAAGAGCAGAAACTGATTTATCATGATAATGATTTTAATTTGTTCTTTAGACGATGAACGAAAATAAATTCTGTCTAAAACTACAGTACAGTCAGGAAATATCGCTTCGTATCTACGCGTAACCACTCGTAGCCTGCTTGTAGGTACTGTTTGGAACGTAGCTACGAACCACTACGAAGGTCATTGTTATTTTAATTAGTTTTGCAATGATCGTAGGCTGGATCGTCGGGCTGATAATCAATGCGTAAACAATATTGAAATATAGTTTACCAGCTTTCAACACGTAAGCAATGTTGCAATTTACTAAATAAACAATGTTAGAACTTTATTGTTTTGTATATCCTACCTTTATTATTAAATCGATCATGTTTTAAAACTGTGTTTATTTCGCTAGCTAGGTGGGTAACCTAGTGGTGGGCATTCAGTATGTTCGAATTTCGATGTCATTTAGGCTTACGTACGGCCTACATTTTCCCCTAGAGAAGGAGAGCAGGCAGTAGTTATACTGGTAAACTTTCCAATTCGGAGAATTTTGATCTGATATTATTCTTCTGGTAGTAGGAATTTTCTTCTTTTAAATAATACTGATGACAAATCATGTACAAATTATTACGATTTCTACAGATCACGTTGTTTATTGTTTACCGTAATTTGAAGCAGAACAACCTGCAAAGCTATCCAATACTAAATGGAAGTATAGAAATCACTACCTTGCCGAATTAAGGCTAGTCATGCTAGACCGCATTTACTCCGTTTTTTACTCACTGTTGCTCACATCTTTTCAACATTTGCCACGAGGTTAACCTTTAACACACTTTACTGTGTTCTGATTGGCGCGCACTCTGACGTCTAATGTTTTATTTTCCATTGGGTTTTCCATGTGACATTCGGTAATTTTACAACCAACGGACGTTAATTCTCCTTTATATTTGTTATTTATCTTACTAAATCAAGACTACAAAATATTATTTGATGAACAATCTTTTTACATGTGTGTATTGCCATTGAGGACATCGTTTTTTGACATTTTAAATGAGGTAAAATAATTGTAAAAAATAAGCTAGGCCTAGGCTAATTAATTAAAAAAAATAATACAGCAGTACAAACAAGTTCCTGACGTGGACAGCGAGTGGAAGAGGAGACTCCCATGAAGTCAAGTGTACGTTTTTCTTATTGAAAAACATTTCCATACTTTAAATTAACGGTCTAAACTTGTGTTTGCCATTCACAAATTATCAAACAATACATTGTTTATTCCAGTAAGCTGCAGCAGTCTTTCTGCACATACAAATAAACAACATGCATTTGCTTCATAGGTTCGCTTCGCGTAGCCTTGCTTAGATTGTTTATATCAGGCTACGAAGCCTGCGCGCAGGTTAGATTGTTTATATAAGGCTATGATGTATCTACGAAGCCTGCGCGCAGGTAAAAGTGCAATATTTCCTGACTGTACTGTAGTTTGATTAATGGTTAATTATATGTTTTGTATTGTTATAATTTATATATGTTTTCGTAAATATTAATTATGGCGGTATAGTATATGTATTGTAAATTGAAACACCTCACTACAAGACTAGCAAAAAATACTATAAAGCAAAAATTAAACTGGTATAGTCTTCATTTATTGATACTAAAGTTGTAACAATCGCTGTAAATTAATATTTAACTATATATTGAAACTTACATAATGAAGAATATACAAAAATAAGCAAATTTACCTAAATATCATATTTCATTTAACACATGATAATGTTTAGCTTAATTATGTAGGTATATTAAGTATATGAGTACACAAGTTATACATACATTATGTACTGTAAAGTGAACTCAACATATTCTAGTATTTAATCAATCAATCAATCAATCTCTATTTTCCATCATCAATAAAACAACAAATAAAGATGGAGGAAATACAAAAAAGGCAAGGCCTGACAATGCATTGTATCATCTTAACAAAAAGACAATCATAAGCAATATAAAATGTTAAAAAACATTAAAAATACACAAACAAACAAAAAAAAATTACATTACGGCAGATACAGAGACCCACACACCCATATGAAATACATGTTGCTAAAATGAACAAGTAATCGTTATTTAAGTCGAAGTATTGCCATGAAGTTAACTTGCATTAAGAAATTGGATGTGCTTAGAAATCTGTGTTTTAAAATGATTGACACTGTAGAGTTTTTAACTCTTTCCGGCAAATTATTCCAAACTTTAGGTCCATATAGAAAATTACAGATTCAATCTTATGAATATCTAATCGATAGTTATTTTTATTCCTAGTATTGTACCCATGAATAATTTTATGATCAATAAAGATATTGTTAAAGGATGTGGGTAACATTCCATCGTTGTATTTAAACATAATATACCTAGGTTCTTTCTTGTACAGATCAAAAACATTCAATAGATTTAGTTTTTCAAATAAAGGCTTCGTATTGACATAAATATGGACTATTGGTAATTATTCTTAAAGCTTTCTTTTGCAATTTTAATATTTTATTCACATAACCTTTGTTTGCTAATACCCCATAGTTAATGTGTGACAAAATAAGGGAATAGTACAGTAATAGTAAAGATTTCTCTGGTAGGAAATGCTTTACTTTATTTAACACACCAATATTTTTAGAACACTTCTTCTGAATGTTATTGATATGCCGTTTCCTAGTAAGATTGTGCGGGGTGCACAGTAAAAATAAATACAGAAAAGTAAACTAGAAATTGCAAATTGCAAGTGAAGTGCTGCGAAGTACAACTGCATAAAATGTTCTTCGAACAAAATTATTTATGCGAGTCAAGTGAAAATAATGAATAATAAAAATATAA